CGTATCCTGTGTGCAGACCTTCTCTACGGTCCTCCATTGGGCCTCTTTTTTAGCTCTGTAATTTTGTTATCATATTCAAGATTATGTCTACCAACTGTATGAGTTTGTATGATAACAAGGATTCTTTGCTCCCATTTTCTTTTTTGACAAATCAGAGTGGAATGATCCTTAAATCTCTTCATATCATTGTTTCCGATTGACTAAATTATAAGTGATTTTCCTCTGACTGAGATTCTTGTATCTCTTGCAACAACAGATATTTCTTTTCAACTGTCCAAAATTGAGTACTCTGAAAATTCCGCAATCAATAATGTTAATTGAACGACTTCCACAGGCGTGAAAAGCATCAAACTAAATTAGTTAGATTTCTTTTAAACTAAAACCTGCCATCTGAATTTGAAAATATTTATGAAAGCTCTTTGATAATATGTATTTTCATACACATTTTGTAACAGTATCATATAAGATTCAAATACAATGCAGCATAGCCAGGAGATAGAGAGATTGATCTATACCTGGTATAAAGATATGTATATGAAAATATAAATTTATTTCAGGGACTTGACCTTCTCTAGCTTTGAGAGCTGGTCAAACAGTCTCTGCAAGTCTATTGTCTTTGCACTTGATGCAGTGCAGGCAATGCGGAAGAGAAGCTGGATGTCAAGTGGGGAAGAGCACGAGTAAAGTAAACTAGAACACGGAATCATCAACAAAGGAGCTGCAGGACAAACAGAGGGACTGAAAACTACATCATCTCTCACTTTCCAACTTAAAGATATGACTGTCCTTCAGAAGGCAGGGCTTAACCATGCACCCGCCGAGGTGTGGTAGAAACTGAAAGAAGACTCATTGGAGAACTGGCCTGGCTGCTGCTCTATACCAGTGAGGTGGAGCAGTAGCTGGGCAACAACCTGGGTGACTTACAGCAGTGCCTGGTGTCCCCGTGCCTACACACCAAGCATAAAAGCAGTAGGTTGCTTGACGATTGCTGTTCGCATACCATGCAAAATGTCTCTTGTAGCTACCCTCAATGGACGTCTACAAGAAAGGAATTTCTGAACAGTGTAGTTCAGTAAGACAGATTGACCCATTACAAAGCCACGTGAGAAATCAAGTATTAAAGTACAGAATAAAGGGAGGATTCCTCAAATATTAATTAATTTGTAATATTTTAAATAACTACTTATATATAAAAATTTTAACAATGGAAACGAGTATTTATTTTTGCTAATTAAAACATCTATTGTATCTGTGTTAGTATTTCCAGGATGTTAATTACTTGAATGGATCTTGAAATCTCAAGAGATTAATTTGATTATACTAATATAAAGAATCAATGCAGACCTGAAAACAAAAAGAAATATGGTACAAATAGTGAAGAAGAATTTTCATCTTTCAGCAACATTTTCATTCTTCTCTACCATGATATGAACCATTGGAGATAATTTTCTGCTATGATAAGACATCTTCCCATGCAATCTATTTGGTAGCAAGTCACACCTTGCAAACAAGATGTACTTTAAAGAGAGAGCTCCATTCTGTGGCATGTTATCCAGTTAAAAGTCTGGATCAAGCTAACAGTTTCATCAATATCAATTTTGCTCCTAAACACTTAAATAATCTATATGTTATTGGTGGAATGGCTTTCTTTACTGAGAATAGTTTTGCTATGTTTCCTAGACAGTTTCTCATTACTTTATACACAATTAACCTAACACAACAGCTGTTTCTCACTCAGGAAGTGTTTCCTTTTGTCCAGGTCTGTCCCTGTTGTTTCTCATTAACCTTTTGGAAATTTACAATTAGTGCTAAACAACAATTTTGTGTTAAATTGAAGGTTTCAACCAGTGTAATATGATAGGAAGCCAAAATTAAAACTTAATAAAAAGGAAGAAATAGGATCTCTTGTCGATGACATGAATGTCAATATAGAAAATCTTAATAATCTACAGAAATTTCACTAGAATTGATAAATAAATCACAGTGATATCAAACGTCATTTTTTCAGAAGTTGTAACTCATTTGGGTAGATACTTTGACTAATAGCATCTTTCTTCAAAGTTTGGGAATATTTAGGAGTCATAATTCTTCATAAATATTGGTCAACAAGAACAGATTATGTACCACATGGTCTGCACTTATATACAGACAGTTCATATCTTAAACCTTTCATTGAAGTTAACTCTCTCAGGATCATGTTTTAAACCTATATAAAACTTACAAATCAAGCCCAAAGAATGAAAACCCAAATCTAGTAAAAAGTATTTGTTTTTATTTTCCAGTATGCTTCATTTAAAAAAGTATGGTTTCATTAGTAGTACATTAATGAACTGAAAGAACGAAGTGACAAATTTTTGTCACAGATATTAATTTACATTTTACAAACATCCACCAAAACAATTTAAAATGAAATAAATATATTTACATTTTATATTTCTGGTATTTTCATTACATTTTAATATGTATAAAATATATAACATTTATAATATTTTATTTTCAAAAGCAAATTCAAATGTGCAAATAAGTGGCATTATGGTTTTAAAGTATTCAGTAGTAAGAATAAACAATAAAGAACAATTTTAGAGATATGAATAAAGCAACTTCTTAAGAAGAAATTATGAGCACAGCAGTATCAATAGTAGCAAAATGTTATTAATATCAGAACATCTACACTTACCTTAAAAAGTTAAGCACAAGATCATTCTTGTGCTATTAAAGCTTCTCCACACTGCCGATTTCTAGCAGTAATTCTAAATTATTGTTAGGATTATTAATTTTTGTCAGTAATAAATCAAGCTTTTCTTAAATCCAGCATTCAACATAGACAAAATTTATAATCAAGCTTCAGCCTTGTAAATGAGGAAAATGTTGATCAATAATCTAACGCACCCAAAGGAAAATTTCTCTGCTTGCATGGCTAATATGGACTTGAAATTTATTTTCAAGTAATTGCTTTCTTTTCTTGCTGAATGACAGCTTATGAGCGAAGGTTTCCAAAGTATAAGTTGGTACATGCCTGAAACATGGGCAAGAAATAATTGCCTGATTATCCTCCCATTTTAAAAATGTTGGGGTATACATCACACTTACACTATCTATTAGATTATTTTTTAAATAAATACTTGTTGTAATATAACAAATTATAAATGTCCTTGCTGTAATATACTTCTGCTTAGATGAATTGTTATACTTGATCAGGCAAAAGACATTTTTATAGTAGTTAGCAGTTTTCAAATGACTTTGAACTTCATTCTCTGACCTAAATACCTACAATATTCCCTGTTAAGCTTGTGTTATATACACTGTAATGAACTCTTTAATGACTACATACACACACACACACACACTCTCACACACACACGCAGACACACACCCAAACACACAGACACAATCACACATACCAAGGCACTGGAGGGGTTAACACATTAGCATTTTGCTGTTAAAATGTGCTCAATTTACAAACCAGGATTTGATGAATAAATCTCATGCATGTAAACCTAAATTACATGAGAGATAGGAATTTATAAGTGTTTTTGTTCATTTCTAAGCTTTTTCATTCAAGTAATCCAAGTTATAACAAATAACCATGACTAATCATCACATTGTAAAGAAAACATGAAACATTAATTGTTAAACTGATGAAAATGAGAATAGTATTTTGTTAATTTTTGGCTATTTTACTAATCATGTTAAATAAAAATCTCAGCTTTTTTTTAATCAATAGTATCAAAAATAATCATAACGGTATTGTCATAGGTTTTTAAGCTACATTTTACAATGTAAAGTATATTAAATGTATGTACACAAAACATGTTCTTTTAATATATTTAATGGTCAGCATTTCATTATATTTATATATATACACACACATATATATGCATATACATATGTGGGTATGTGTATATTCATCGAGGAGATATATATTTATACATATCTCATTGTGTGCCTTTTCCTTCATACACATGAGCACAGGCTAAATTTTCATGATATCACAAAAAGATAGTTAATAGGTTTTTTAAATTTTAAAATGGAACAATTATAAAATTTCACATTTTTAAAAATTATTCTATTACAGGTAGCTAAACTGTTGAAACTTTTCTTTTGCTTATGGATGATTAGACCAAATCATATTGCCTTCAGATCATATTATCACATTGTGGACACATTCATGTAACCCCAATATGGGGCACATTGAGATTCAGTGCTGGAATTGAAATTCTGTAGTGAACCACATACCACAGCTGAAAATTCTAAGTCGATGTATCCCACTGCTTTTCCTCCGTAAGTTCAGAAGTGGCCTACTACTGAAGCCTGCTTTTGGTGGGCTTCAATTTTACAATGCTTGTGTGTTTGATCAGTATAGTGTGCAATAATTCCAAAGTTCTATCCTAATTACAAATGTGTAATTAGTTTTATGGTCAAATACATTACATTGAAACTGTTTATTGTAATTTGCCACTGTTCTTTGGATAAGGTATGTTAGATTCAGCTTAACATTTTCCAAGGGATAATTATAAACTTCCATATTTTCTTTTCAATTTGAGGTATTTACAAACTAATTTGATTCAAAATGAATTAATGTATCATAATCAGTATGAAAACAACTTGATATTAAATTTTTTAACTTAATGGATCTGTCCGTTATAGAAAAAATGTTGTTTCCTTCTTGAGTAATTTTTTTTTTTTTTTTTAAACGGAGTCACACTCTGTCACCCAGGCTGGAATGCAGTGACATGATCTCTGCTCACTGCAACCTCCGTCTCCTGGGTTCAAGTGATTCTCCTGCCTCAGCCTCCTGAGTAGCTGGGACTACAGGCACAAGCCACGACGCCTGGCTAATTTTTGTATTTTTAGTAGAGATGGGGTTTCACCATATTGGCCCGGCTGGTCTGGAATTCCTGACCTTGTGATCCGCCCGCCTTGAACTCCCAAAGTGCTGGGAATACAGGCGTAAGCAAAGGTGCCTGGCCTGGAGGGATTTTTTTTTAACATATTTTTAAAAAATATTGAATCACTTTATTAGATACTTGATTATCTCCACATGGGCACATGTAATGTTTGGTTTACCTAGGAGCATGTGTATCAATAAAAATGTTTGTTTGTTTATTTGTTTTTTACATACACAGCTGACTTTTTAAAAGAAGGTCTCAAAAAAGCTATACTAAAGGATAGAGAATGTGTTTCATGTTATACAACTAGCTGTATAATTGTACCTGGAATCTGAGTAAATTGCACAACTCTAAAGCTTTCAAATTTCCCAGCCTTTTCACATTTACATTCTTAGGACAAAATATCTAAAATAACCTGCATAGTTTGGCATTACTTAATCACTTCCATGAAAAGGGAGGATAAAGATTTTTAATGTTTATCTTTAAATATCACCTTTGTTCCACATAAAATGGCACTAAAATGGAAAAATGTCATTTAACTAACATATATAATAGCTTTGGGACTGCTTTCTAGGGACATTTCAGTTCATGATTTACTAGTAGATTTCAGATTACAAACAATTGTTTCTCACACTGTATTTTTTATATTATTTTCTCTACAAAAGGTTTGGGGGTCATTGAAAATTTATGGAACTTTGATAATAAATCTTATTAGGTAAAATATAAGTCTTTTTAAAATGAAGGAAGAAATGAGAGGTTCATGAAACTTTTCATCACTCGTAATTAAATTAATACATTTTTGGCATAGTAGATTGACATTGGCAGCAAATAAACCATTTCAGTAACACTGATCCCAGGGAGAATAGTCCATTTCACATTGTATCTCTCATAGGTCAATGTGATTATCTTTTTGAAGTTCTTTGGAATATTTACAATAAGATAAAAACCACTGGAGTGCCAGCGTCAATCATGGGATGAGAACACAAGGGCATATTTACATCAGCAAATGAAAGTGCATCCTTCTTTGATGAGATTTTTTTGCATGCTCCTTGTTGATTTATGATTTTTAACTCTTTGATGGCCCTCATAATACAATGATAGGGCATTAGTTTATGATTCTGCCCAACATGTACTTGTCATACAAAATAATCTAAAATACAGAAGTAACCATTTAATAAGTATTTTTATTTATAGGTAGCTTACTATTTTTATATTATTTACATACTTCTTCAAATAATTCATTCTTTTGTCTCCACTTTTGGTGAAAGCAATATACTTACTGGTACAAAGCAACTGAGTGAGAACGAGCTGTTTTGTTCATGTGTTATATGTTACAGATGCCATCCAAAATAGAAGTGTTTTTGAGATTCCACATGACCTTCTTTGTTTCTGCTGAAATTTCAATTTTTCCTCCACTGTTGACATGTTATGGATTTTCCAGGGTCTAAAATGATGAATAAATGTGTTCTGTTTATACAGTTATGGTGAGTATCAATGCAGAGCTTAGTATGTCAAGTTGTGTACTTTGCTTTGCTCGTGGTAGCAGAGCTGGCAGCAGCAGAAGCAGAAGCCTGATTGCCTAAAAATAGAGGGTCCAAACATGCTACCTTGGCAGCAAAGAAGGAATGAATGCAGTGAAGAACAGCAAATAAATTTGAAAATTCCAACTCCTGAAAGAAAAACAGGTCAGATAAAATAAATATTAATCTTTTTAAAAACGGATGATAGCTAGATTTTTTTCAAATTCAATACACTTATCTAAAATCTATGATATCTAACATACACTAATTTCAAATGTAGACATTTCTTGGACAACATATAAACATCATACGTATTGAAAAGTTACTTCAATATGTAGTGGATAAGAGGTAGGAGAACTGATCTCTCTTATCATCTATGAATGTTGTTTTAGCATTGATAAATATATTTTGCCAAAATTTTACTCTTGATAATGTATAATTAAAGATAAATTTGGACATACATTTAAAAGTATTTTTATCTCTATGCACACATCAGATGATAAACGTGGATTAGAACAGTTTAAAACTATTTTTGATTATTATCTAGAATGAGTTAATATTTGCCATAAGAAACTGAATAAGAAATGCTAGAAGGAAGGGGGTATGAACTCTTATAATCAGAGGAGCCAAATGGTTCAATTTCAAAAAATAATTTAATCATTAATTTTAATTGTGGCTGGCTGTTTAATGGTATATGTGGCGTATTTACTAAAAAAATCAACTAGAGCTCACTAATTCATTTTGGATTTTTAGAAATATGTTCCCCATTTAAATATCAATGGAAATTTTTAACCCATTTACCAGTGGCAACCAAATTATATATAATACAGTGAAAACAGAAAAAAGTTATTTCAAATTTTAATTATGTCAAAACAGCTCTAATACCATAAAGCAAGGCTCAGAATGGATTTACAAAGATGATGTTGCTGGTATTTTTATTAAAGACCATCAATAATCACATAATCATGTTTTAATTCAAGATGATTGAAAGATTAATACATTTATGTGCTTAATGAAATAAGTATGATAAACTTATCACAAGGAGGATAAGTAGAGGGTAATAAAGCATATGAAATTCTTACAAACTCATTGCTATTCTATTATATATTTGACTACATATATGTAATAAAGAGTATAGAATTATACTTGATACGTACATGACTGACTGTGCTTACAACTTTTAAGTGGTAGCGGAAAATATTACAAAATATTCAATATATTATGACACATCATAATATCTGTAATGTACCATGTAGTTATTTAAATAAAATAATTCATCCACGTAGTATTTTCTCAGGTCATGCAATAGGAGTGCAATACACCATAACGTATATTCAGGGGCATCTATCACATAGAGGAAATGCTATGCTTTCTCAGTAGCTCCCTTCAAACCTTCAGTATTTGATAGTTTCCTATGTGAAACAGTAACTTATTCTACAGAAGAGAAAAGGTTATTCATTTAACTAGTCTACTTCCCTTAGCTGTTTACACCAAAAAAGTTTTTAGTAACTCCATTGTAATTATCTTCGAAGCTTTATTTATAATAATCCACTTCAGTGGCACTAGTCATATATGTCGTATGAGCAAGTTTCCCTTTGCCTTAACTCACCCTGAAAATCCTCCATTCACCCCATCATTCTTGGTGTAGTCAGGTTATTTTGCAAACGAATTTTGAATACTTTCTATATCATCTCAAATTAAGTCCACCTGATGTGAAAGGTTTGGAAATTTGGGGAAAATGTAAAATGTTCTTGCATGTTATTAAAAAATAAAATGACAACCACAAAAATAAGCAATTCACTATTGATAAGGATGAGAATATTGTTGGATGGGTAAAAATAGTATGGCAAATAACTTTTTCTCAAAGGTAATAGTACCTCATCTTTATTAAAATAGGGATTATATTTTGGTTCCCAAAAATAACAACCCTTAAATATGTTAAGTATCCAGGCATCTTTACAAAAATAAAAGTTTTCAATTATTCCTATCTTGTCAATTTTTTGTCAATAATTTGATATAAATTGACACTTTAACCTTTTTACACCCTTTTTGAATAAGTGGTAGACAGGAACTAATAGAGGGTGATTGGAAGAGAAAGCAGGAGACCAAGATGGAGCCAAGTTTGGCTCTTCATTCCAATGTCCACACATCTTTCCTCTGCCTCAGTGAGCAGCCTTGGCAACCATTTCCGCTCCTAGGGTGTCAGTGATTCCTTCTATGTAAGTAAACTCACACTGTGGTGGAACTAGACCTGCATTCTTACCACCTATCAGGCATCCACTGATGATAAACATCTATCTATTCATCCTCTGATAGCTTCCGCCAAGTTACAGACTTACAAGTTTCCCTCGTAAAAAAAGTCTTATGATTGTCATGAGCTCTCAAATCTCACCAAGCATAAGCTAGCTTCAAAAAATGTAAGCAGTCATGCACTCAATAAAATACCAAGTGCTTCCTATGCATCTACTCTTTTTTATTGTTCTTAAAAGATAGCAATGAAAAAACAGACAAAAACAAACAAATGAACAAAACAGTACTGATGGGATTTACACTCCAGTGACAGGAGACAAAATGTGACTAAAGGCATAAATACATTAAGGATAACGTGTCAGAATATGATAGGTACAGTTGAGAAAGAAAGCAGAGAAGACTACAAAGACTACTCAAGGGGCCGTGGACAGGAAAATCCATGTTGTCTTGTGCACGGAACTTGAAACAGATGAAGGCGTGAGTCATTTCCATGTTTGTGAGAAAATATTCCAGATGTAACACTTATACTTTTAAAGGCCCAGAGGTAGGGACATTCCAGGAGAGTTTGAAGAAAAACAAGGGATATTGTGTCTGGAATGGAATGAATTAAGAAGTAATTAGCAGACAGTGAGGTCAAAGAAAACACTTGACATACTGCATGAGCCTTTATGAGTTTCATTATGAATGTCATGGGAAACCATGGTAAATTTTTGAGCAGAGGAGTGACAAGCATTGACTTAAGTCAGAAAATGATGATTTTGGCTAGACTGTTGAGAATGAACTTTATGTGAAATGGATTGAAAGGAGGAGGAGAAGTTACAAAGTTTTCTATATGGAAAGGGGTTAGATTTGAAAGTAGATTCAATAACTGGGGGAAAAAAGTGTTGCTCTACAAATGGAGGAATTGTGGGAAAATCGGGTTTGGGAGTGAAGATCAAGATTTTGGTTTTGGGTATGTTATATTTGAAAGCATATTAGACATACAGGTGATAAGGGGAGAGCTGCATATGTTAGTATAGATTTATGGAAAAAATTAGAGTTCAGAATAGAAGTTCAGCCTCTGTCAGCATATAGATAGTAGGTAAAGCACTGTGGTCTGGATGAGAAGATCAAGGTGTGCGTAGGTAGGCAGAGAAAATGGGCACTCATCACTGAGATTCCACAGTATAAAAATGTCAGAAAGATGAGGGGAAGAACCAGCAAAGAAGAAATAACTATAGCTGCCTCTAAGAAAGTGAGAGAGAAAACCGGGAATCCTGTAAAATGACAGCTGGATGTTGACCATTGAATATAGCAACACAGAGGCCATTTTAATCCTTAACAAGAGTCCTTTTGTGGAGAAGTAGAAACAAAAGATTCACAGGAATGGCTTCACGAGAAATTGCACGTGCAGTTATTAGTTACTACAGGCAGCTTCTCTTTGGAGAAGAAATCCTACTTTTCTTTCTAAAATGGAGCAGAGGAACAGATAAATAGGAAATCAAGAATGTTTTCCTAAGGTTTATGAAATTAGTATATATTTGTAGAATTGCTGGCATGAGATGGAAGTGGTATCAAATCTGAGGACAATTGTAGAAATTGTATTTTTGAGAAGGGTGAGATCTGGTGCAAAAGTGGAAACCTTGACAATTGATCTCAAGTGGCAGGAGGTGAGGCACAGTACTATGGGCACAACTCAAGGAAGGTGGGTAGATTTGGTGGTTTGTAGCTTTGCTTAATTCTGTGTTTTAAGTGGGATACAAAGCAAAGTCATTGGCTGACAGAGAGGGTAAAGAACCAGAGCACGAGTGACCTACTGACTGAGAACCCCCAGGTTGCCCAACACCGTACAGTTCCCCACCGGGTCCTGCCCTATTGCTGGAAGGGCATGACTCCAGAGCAGCGAGCTGCTATCAGGAAAGAGCAGGAAGTACAACGCTTTGAGAAGGAAGCACAACATCAGGCTGAAAAAGCATTGGATACTGAATGGAAAAGCCAGACCATGAGCTCGGCCCAGGCAATGCTGGAGCTTCAAGAGCAGGAGAGGGAATTGTGTGCTCAGTTTCAGAGGGGTCTAGGCTCCTTCAACCAGCAGCTGGCTCAGGAGCAAAAAGCCCAGCAGGATTACCTGAACTCAGTAATCTACACCAATCAACCTATAGCCCAGTGTCACCAACAGTTTAACACCAGCAGCTGCTAAGTTCAGGATGTTTATCTCTCCCTTTTCATCCATCAAGCTCACAAGTGGTCAGGAGTCAAAGAGAAAAATGCTGCATACTCCCACCTTCTAACCTAGGTAATAAACTTCTTCACTCAAAATAAAAAAAAAAATTATTGAGAATTTGGACAAACTACTAACTTATAGGTATCATTTTCAGGATAAAATCTGGAATTTATCTTCCTCACTCTGCTTACTGCTTAAAGGCTTTTAACCTATTTATGCCTGAGACTGCTATTTTTTGAATGTTTGCAATCAGACCTTGGTGATGACTTTGAGCAGTAAAATATAAATAACTCCCACATGCTTAGCGTTCCAATAATGGAACATTAGGCATAAATGAGTCAATAACTCGTGAGACCTCTGAACACAATTGAGAGCATCATTAACTGAACCTAAATAAGTCACCACCTACATTTGCACACCTGTTTCCCACAGTAACATGGTAATGCAACACTCAATATCATTAAAACATAACTCATAACTAAATAACAAAAATGTCTAATTACAATAGAAGATCAATCATCATATCAAGAACCAGTGAAATCTTAAACTGAATAGAAAAAAAAAATCAATAGATGCCAACAGTGAGATGACATAGATTTTTGAATCATTTGACAAATATTTTCAAGTAGTCACAACAAAATTGTTCCAATAAGAAGTTATCACCATGCTTAGAACAAATGAACATGTAGAAAGTCTC